AAGAGACAGCAGTTAATTTAGTCTTTACAACTCCACCTCTCTGTTCCGTGCCTCTCATTTGCTGTCGCGTTCATCTAAGCTTGTTTTACACACACAAGATGCTTAATTTAAGGGAAGATCTTGCTCTACTAATAGTATCCCTTCAAGGTTTCAACAACCTTAAAATAAAGGTCTTCGTTAATAGTGTCATTTTGTACGGAGCATATTTTTACACAATCCTGCTTTTAGGGATGTTTCAGTATTTTTATGGTTCATTTGTTGTAGGCCTTAATCACATTCAGTACATTTAGATTATTTACATGGTGGTCAAAAAATGTGAAAACGTTAAATGCTTTAGAGTACTGCCAGGTAAAACTGTATTTGTTCTTCTTTGGGCTGCTCATTTGAGAGTGAACATACATAAAAAAAAGAGTGTTAAGTCCAGTTCATTAGGTGTTTTCTCATTTCATTATAGACTAGAACAGCCAACGAGGATTCATCGGACATTCGTGCACAATTCCAACTTGAAAACGGACAAGAATGAAGGAAGAAGCCACATTACAATGTAAGCTCCACAGCAGCATTTTTAGTCATGTTGCCATTTATGAAATGCCCGACTCCTCATTTCACTGAAGAAGAAACCAAACCTTAGACAGATCATCTTACTTACTAGGGGCCAGACAGCCATAAGTGGAGTAACTTCCAAACCCACGTTCATAACCACCACGCTACGTTCACTCTGTTTGGTGTAAGTTACTAATCGGACAGCATGGGGACAAGCGCTTGTCCCCAGGAAGGTCGAGGCGGTGGTCTATCTCTGTGGGACGCTGGATGCAGATGGAAGAATCAGCCACGCAGTCCAGTTACTGCTTACTGACTTTCTGTGACTAGCACTGAGGCTGGCTAGCGGTGGCTATAGATTACCTTGTGGTCACAGTCAGGGCCTCGCCATTTCCGACCATCCTGAAAAAGTCTACAGTCCCAGGCATGCGGCCATGGTGGGTTCGCACAGTCAACTGTGTGACGACTGAAACAATGAGGTTGGTGGGGACATCACTGGCAAGAGGAAAGAGTCAGATTCCGCAGCAATCATTCGAGTCAGCTTTCTTAACTACCCTCCACATTAAGAGATGGAATTCTTTCGCGGTGAAATCAAGACATCGAATAACCCATACAGGATCACTGTGTGTGTGTGTATGTGTGAAGACACCACTGATGTGTTTAAAAAGTATGAAGCATGATTTAAAGGTCAATACGAAATCGGTGAGCACAGAGGTTCTCTATGTAACAGACACCAAACTGTAAGTAATTTAAAGCAACATTTGAAAAATAGCAGAACTACGTGCCTTCCTAAGCACTAGCCTGGCAGGTGGTAGAAACCATCTGATGGTCCATAGATTACATCTTCCCCCAGAACTCACTAAGAGCCAATGAGGTGATAGTGATGATGCCAAACAAAGTCAGAACTTGAACTCAGGAGACTGAGAACAGAAACCTACGCTGGAAACTGAATTTGATTTGAAGGGTTTTGTCTGAGCAGAAAAGAGATACAAACGAGGGCCAAAAACATCTTCTAGTCGATGAGTAGATTCTTGAGAATATTCTTTTCTTACACAGAGGTGACTCCAGAATTCTCTCTCATAGAAATGCTTAGACTCCTATTCTTCTCTGTTGAGAAAGTCATTCGCGGTGTCACTCCACAAATGCTACGCCACGTCCAATGGCACAGCGTGCACCCTGAGTTGTGACGTCACACTACCTGCGCGATACCTCCCAGCTCCCACCATCCTTCCACCTGCACTGCCATCCTCACCCAGCACTGAGCATCCGAGAAACAGAGAGCTTGTGAAGTGAGTCAATAGTGGAGAATTTCTCCTACTGAGCATCTGAAGGAAAATTCTAGAAATTAACTGGTTTGAAAAAGAGCACGTAACAAATACTTATTCACTTGCGGCATCATTGGTGCTTCTAAGGAAAAGTACATACAGGCCTGCCTATCATCTGCGTCAATCCAACCACCAGCATCTACCTATCATCCATCTACAGTGTATCCTCCCTGCCAGGAGCCTGCTCAGCCCTAGGAGGCAGACCCTGAGAATTACTGTGCATTTTTGGTATATGTACAATGACTTCTTCTCTTAAGCTTCTGCCTCTCCCGAGAAGAAAAGTCCACATTAATGTAACAGGCTACCTTTGCAAGGTGCTCATTCCGCTCGCAAAATAAATAAATGGATCTGCAGTGGTTTCTGCCACACATAAATGCCACGCATTGCAGAACGCCCGGTGAATGACGTACATCACCGTACTTGTTTCCATGTAAGCGTTTTTGTGATACGGCTGTTTATCATCTTGCTCAGCTGTCGAAACATTCATCGGAGAAGAAAGGCTGCCACTGGGTGGAAAACCAAGATGCCTTTTCTTTGCGGTTTTACAATGCCTGCCATTCGTCAGGCTGGTGTGATTTTACATTCCCTGCCCCTTTCAAAAGGCGTTTCCCAGAAATGCCTGGAGGAGCTTGCCCACCATCATCTCCAAGGGGTGTGCAAAGGGCAACATCTTGAGGCATGCTCAAACGAAACGACGGTAGGAACGGAACACATTTTTTCTCAGTCTTCTGAGTGGTCAAGACGGAAGGAGTATGAAGAGGTTCCCCACACGCGCCGTTCCCAGCAGTGGCTATAATAATTATAGTGCTACTTCTCAAAGGGGAATGATTTCATATTGCATCATCTCCCCTCCTTTTTTTTTTTTTTGGCTGGTTTAGGTCTATTTCGCTCGGAGATTATTATCTCTAACTTGTAAAAGATGCATGTAATAGATGTCACCATGTTAAATTAGAGCATTTCATAAATGTCAGCTGAATGGCACAGCCATACAGTGCGCGGTCTTATTGTAATTTGCTGCAAAATTAATACAGTGCTTATTAACAAGATGAGGGTAGGACTTTATCAAAATGAAGGATCTCAAACGGCGTTTTAAAAATATTTCTAACATGAATAAATGAATTTTCCATGTCTGTAGTTAATGTTGTGTAGAAATATGCTTTTAGGAGAGTTAGCTCTTTCGGTTTAATGATATTGATTTTGTTTTATTTGGGTAAAACTGTCAGGTCGCTGTGAACTTACACAGCAGAATGGCTGCTCACTACAGAGTTAGCCTACTGGACCAGTGAAAATATAAATTCTAAACCTTGAGAGAGGAAGACGTCCATCTGAGATGATAAGGAAAATGAATGAATCAGGCTTTTAAAACACACCCTGACACACTGGTTAGCCTGTGTGTGAGATAATGAGCTGAACGCCTGGCGTGTATTAAG